GCGGGGGGCCCCCGGGGGCCCCCGCGGGGCCCCGAAGGGTCCCGGGACAGCAGCAACTGGCGTCGCTCTGCAGACAAACTGTAGAAAGTGTCGATGGCCCGCTCGAGCTGGTAGCTGTGCTGCCGCAGCAAATCAACTGCTGCCTTTTTGCTGCAGCCCGTGATGTCCTGCAGCTGCTGCACTGCGCGGCTCTGCCGCTGGCTGGAGGTCAGCATGGGCCTGAACACAAGTTCAACTTTGCTGCAAACTCCCCCACTAGTCCTTTCCCAAGACCACGGCCTGCAGCAGGCAGCGCCAAGCAACTCCTGCTGCTGCTGCTGCTGCTGGAGAGAGAAGCGGGAGGCGGAGTGGAAGGGGGCTGGAGGTTGGGCTGGCGGCGCTCGGCCGCGGGCAGCGGGTGGTCTCCGGGGCCGCCGGGGGCAGTTTCGAAGAGAAATAGATTTGCAAAATTAAATTAAATGATGAAGAACTAGTCCAGCGGTTGGGGAGTGCCAGTGCAGATGCGCATACACCCGAGAAATCGGCGCCTCCTGCCGCCGCGGCCGCCGCCGTGAAAACGCCGCCACGGGCCCTAAAGCACTCAACAAGAGACTTGGAGGAATTAATTTAACTGGTTTCATTAATTTCATCAATTTCACTAATTCTAAAGAAGGATGCAGCTGTCTGGACACTGGAGGGTCGCCAGCCGCGAGAGCTGCGGATCTGCGCGGCTGGAACGCGCGCGTTCTTGCATGCAGCGTGACAGGGGCGATTAGCGGCTTTACCGACTTGTCTAGGCCAATACAAATGAATTTTGGGAATTATTTCGAATTAATTTCTTCAATTTGAAGGGTTTGGGGCCTGCGAGTGGGCGCTTTCCGCGAGTTCCCGCGCACCGCAGCTGTTTTTGCAGGCTGGCGGTGGCGGCGTTTGCTGCGGCTGCTGCTTCTTGGCCTCCTTTGACCGTCTCAGAGGCCTTTTTTTGGAGCTCTCGGAACAACGAGCTGAATAAAAACGAAGAGGAAGTTTAGTTTTCGAAAATGAGTGCCGGGGAGGCCGAGCGCTACGACCGCCAGCTCCGCATCTGGGGCGACGCCGGCCAGTCCCGCCTGCAAAGGGCCTCCGTGCTGCTCCTGGGGGCCTCCCCAACAGCCTGCGAGGTCCTCAGGCACCTCGTGCTGCCTGGAGTGGGTCATTTCGTGTTGATAGATGGTCTTGAGGTGCAGCAGCAGGACTTGAGCGAGAACTTCTTGGTGGGGCCCCACACCCTGGGGGCCCCCCGCTGCAGCGCGGCAGCTGCGGGCGCTGCTGCGCTGAATCCCGAGGTGTACGTACAGGCCTGGGCGCTGTCTCCGGAGGAGTACATTTCGCGCTTCGCCTGCTGCTGCTGCTCCTGCAGCAGCAGCAGCAGCTGCTGCTGCAGCAGCAGCGGCGGCGAAAAGAAGTGCCAAAAAAGCGGAGAAAAACCAATCTCCAGCTTCCACTTCAACCAGCCGCCGGGTGTACATACATCCCGCTGCTGCCCCCCTCCCGTTGCTGCCTTCGACGCTGTCATTTGCTGCATGCTGCCGCTGGAACTGGAGCAGCAGCTGCTGCGCCTCTGCGCCAGCCCCCGCTGCTGCTGCTGCAGCGGCAGCAGCAGCAACAGCAGCAGCAACAACAGCAGCAGCAGCAACAGCAGCAGCAGCAGCAGCAGCGGGGAGGCGGTGCCGCTTCTGTGCATCGGCGCTCTGGGGTTTTTCGGGTGGGTGCGTTTGTGGGCTGGGGTGTACAGACAGCTGGAGGCCAGGGGAGAAGCCAGTTTTGCAGACTTCAGAATTTCAAATCCATTTTATTCTCTTTTGCAATTTGCTGCTGCCTTCGACTTGGAAGCCCTCGATGACAAGCAGCACGCGCATGTCCCCTTCGTCGTCATCCTCATACAGGCAGCAAACCCTAAACCCTAAACCCTAAACCCCAAGCCCTAAGCCCTACAGAAACACAAACCCTAAACCCTAAACCCTAGCAGGGGAGAAGGCTCTGAAGGCGTAAACCCTCATCATCGCGCACAAGGGCCTGCCTGCTCTTGGCTTTTCCCCACATTACCGCCACCTAAACCCCAAACCCTAAACCCTAGACCCCAGGCCCTAAACCCTAAACCCTAAACCCTAAGAATTGGGAGGACGCTGCTGCGTCTGCTGGGCTTTGTGGAATGGTCTGCAGGCGCTTTGCCGGTACCGGGGAGTGACCCCGGCGGCCGCAGCAGCAGCAGCAGCAGCAGCAGCAGCAGCAGCAGCAGCAGACGCGGTGGACCTGAGCCCCGGGCCTGCAGCGAGGCAGCAGCTGGAGAAAATAATAATTGAAATGCGGAGAAGTGAAGAAGAAGAAAACTTCCAAGAGGCCCTCAGCAACCTCCACAGGGCCCTGCAGCCCGCAAGGCCCAGCGACGAAGTCCTACAGGCACGCCAAACCCTAAACCCTAAACCCTAAACCCTAGCTCCGCCGGAGCCTGCTGCCGTTGCTGCGGGCGGTGTACGTACACCCCAAGGGCAGGCTTCTGGTGTCTTTGAAGCCAGCAGAAGCTTTCCGCTGCAGCCTCGGGACAATCTTGGAGAGACTAAAACGTGAATAAAAGCACCAAAGGAGTTCCAAAAAGCAAATAAGATCAAAATAATTAAATTAAAATGGAAAACAATTCAGACAAAGTGCAGAAGGACGAAAATAAAGCGAAAAAGAATGGAAATAACACGAAAAGAGCGGGGGCGTGTGGCTGCGCGCAGGTGTTCGAAATGGCGAAGAGCCAGGTGGGCCAAAACGCCTCCAACTTCTGGACTCTGTCTTATTGTTTGAAGCAGTTTTTTGAAGAGCAAAAAGCGCTGCCAGTGTGCCGGCTGACGGCGGACTTCGCGGCGGACACGAAGAGCTATTTGGAGTTGCAAAAAATTTATAATGAAAAGGCGGAGCGCGACGAGCGCCGCCTCCGCGAGCTCCTCGGCCAGCTGGACGTACACCCCAGCGCCAAACTCAACGTTTCGCAAGAAGAAATTAAATGTTTTTGCAAAAACGCCGCAAACTTGAAAGTCACCCAGTGAGCTTCCCAGCTGTACGTACACCCGGCGCCCGCCGCCGCGCACCGCGGCCGTTCAAGTTCCAACGCAGTTTGCGATCTGCCTCGGATTTCCTTTCTTTCGCGTTTTGAATGGAATTTTAATTCATTATTTACTTTCTTTTCGCTTATTTTCCCCTTTTGCAACGCAGATACCCGAAAATAACCGGCGCTTTCCTCGGATCCACCTCCGTGGAGCTGCTGGCCGCGGCCGCGCGCGAAATGCAGCAGGCTGTTCCCGAGGAACTGAAACTCAGTCCAAATGCAGACCCCGACTTGTTTGCAGATCCAAACTTTTCAGTTTACGAAGAAAACGGATTCCTTCATTTGCCCTGGTACGCCGCAGCCCTCGCCTGCCGCGCAGCAGCAGCGAAGCTCGGACGCTTCCCCGGATCCCACCCCAAGCCCAGCGCAGCAGCAGCAACAGCAGCAACAGGTGAGGCAGCAGCAGCAGCAACTGGGGGTGCAGCAGCAGCGCGCAGCGTGGAGGAAGCTATAAAGCAGCAGCAAGAGCTGGTGGAAAAGGACTCTGCCGCAGTGCTGCTGGAGTTGGAGGAAATGGAAAAGGCCGTTGGCTGCCGTTTGTTCGCAGCAGCAAAAGTGGTGCAGCAGCTGGTGAGCTACAGGGGCAGCGAGTTCCCCGCAACAGCAGCACTAGTTGGAGCTGTTGCTGCTCAAGAAGCAATTAAACTTTTGAACAAAAAGTTCGAACCCATCAACAACACTTTCCTCTGGAACGGAGTCCAGAGGCGCGGCCTCACAATGCAGCTTTAAAACAAAAAACTTTATATTTTTGAATTCTTTTTTACGTTCCACACGCTCCACGGCTTCTCCGGTGTACGTACACCCCAGACCCGCGCACCTGCAGCAGCAGCACACATCGCAGCAGCAGCCCATTTCACAGCAGCAGCAGCACAGGTGCAGCAGGACAACATTTAGACCATATCACCTTCTGAAATAAAAACAAAAAAGATAATTCTTTGCAAATTGTCCAAACCCGAAGTTGACGTAAAGGCCATCCACTGAGGACCTCCAGCCAGGCAGGGCTCGGCCCCACGAGGGGCCCCTGGGGCCCCCTAAAGGGTCCTTGGGGGCCCCCCGGGGGGCCCCTCAAGGGCCCACAAGGGGCCCCGAAAACCCCAAATGAGGGTTTTGTCGCACTGACTCTTTGGGCTTAGTCGCCGCCCCGCGAAGGCTTCCGCTGCAATGCGGGGGCAGAGCGAAGGCGGCGCGGGGGGGCCGGCTTAGTGTGCTTTTTGAAAATAAAAATAAAATGAAATAAAAGAAATGAAATAAAAGGAGAAATAGACAAGATGGAGGTGGAATGGGGATTTGGGACCCCGAAATTCGGAAAGAATGAACAAAGATGTGCCAATAACGTGTTAATTATTTGGTTTTTTAATTATTTTGATTATTTAACTTAATTTAATTCATATTGTTTTTAATTCAAATTCAAAACTCAGACTCGGCGATGCTCTACAGCTGCGGGCCGCGGCCGCGCAGTTCCGTCCGCCCATCGCAGATATCATCTTCGAAACAATTTGGAGGAAATTCAATCCAATTTGAATAATTTTGAAGGAATTTAAACGCAATTAAGTCCAATTCAAAGACTTTTTGAACAAATAAAGGAGAACAAATCGAAAAATAGAAGAAAAATGGTGTTTGGGACTTCAAATTATTTTCATTTTGCACAAAATCGAAAAGCGAAAACACTCCGGACTTCGCCGTATTTCACGAAGGGTCAGACAGCCAAGAGAATTTGAAAATCAAAATCCCAGCGGGTTCATCGACTCTAGTTCCTAGGTCATCATTCCGAAAGAAATAAGACAAAATTGAATAAAATAAATTAAATAAAACAAGTTAAACAAAATAAAATTAATTAAAATACGTAAAGGCGCTTGAGAGGGTAATAATGAACCGCCTGGGGTGTTCAGACAGCCAAGAGAATCAAGAAATCACCAGGCCTGAGGCCTCATAGACTCTAGTTCCTTTTTCATCCGAAAGCCCCGAAGCAGCGGCAATAAATGCCATTTAAAGAATTTAATGAACGAAAATAAAACAAAAACAATTCAATTTGAATTGCAGGTGCGAAAAGAAGAGAAAGAAGCGCAAAAAGTGGGAAAATCTGAAGGAAAGAAGCAGCCAAATCTTGTTTAAGCAACTCCAGGCTTACCTCGTGGCCCGCCGGCTGCTTCGACTCCCCTTTGTTCTTTCGTGTTTTCCTACAACTAAAAAAGAATTAAAAATAAATATGTTCGAAACAAATGAATGGAAAAGACTCAAACTGATTCTGAATTCACCCTGCCGCCGCCGCCCGCGAGGGAGGGAGCGCCGCCCCACACCCGACACGCGGGGCCCCAAGCCCCGCACTGCATGCGTTTTCCGTTCAATTTTGCTAAATTAAATAAATGAATTTAATTCGAATTTGAAAAAACTGAGATTACCAATTCGAGATCATTCCAGCTGCCACGTGTACGTACACCCCAAGCGCTGCATGGCTGGCGGAATCGTCTTAGCTGGAGTCTTCATTCGGACAGATCTATTAATCCGCCGCAGTTCTGAGTCGATCTTTTCCTTAATTTTGCGAAAAATATGATTTGAAGGACTTGGGCTTTCAAATTATTGTAGCGAGCGCTGCTGCCTGTGCCGCTGCGTGCGCCGATTCAGCTTCGTTTCTCCCTCAGCTTCCGGAATAATGCACTCCTGGACGTTTTAATTTCAATTACTTTATTTCCTTTCATTTATTTATTAGTTTTATCCCTCTAATGGCCAGTCCTGCCGGAGGGTTCCTCTCTTCCGCCCCCCGCTGCCCAGCTTCCTGCAGGCGGCCTCTGCAGCCCGTGCAAGATGGTGACCACTGGTCACACCACCAGCAGCCTTCTCTGGGGTCGCCACCTGCAGCAGCTCAAGGAGGTGCTGCGCAAGGCAGAGTTCGTTTCTTTGGACCTTGAACTCACCGGTAAGAAGCTGCAGCAGCAGCACCTCAGCAGCAGCAGCAGCAGCAGCACCACCACCACTACCACCACCACCACCAGCACCTCCCCCCCAAACTCACCCCCACATCCACCCCCACCCCCTCCCCCACCCCCAGTAGCAGCAGCAGCAGCAGCAGCAGCAGCAGCAGCAGCAGCAGTTTGTGTCTTCAGGGCTTCCCGGCAAGGGCGAGAAGCTGTTGGGGCTGGACAGTTCTTACGGGGCCCACGCCTTTGGGGCGCAGAGCTTTTTGCCCATTC